TAATGGCATGTGTTGTGAAAAACAGCATGGTCGGGGAGAAATAGAAAGTGTCTTCCAGTATCTAACTGTATAACAGTCATCCTGTGATCCAAATGTGTTTGCTTCCATTTTCGTAATACGAAAAGTTTGTTTTATTAGTTTTGAAGCACCCTATATATATATATATATATATATATATTATATATATATCTTACCTTTATAAATACAGTATGTTGAGTGCACATACTGCATCAGGGCCTATGGCAGTTTTGGACAAACAAATGTACAGAGATAGTATAAAATGATCGCAGAAAGTTTGCATACAGGATGGGACATGAAAACCTGTTATTTAACATTTAAAACATACATGTCATATCCTGAAGGAGTCAATAACAGAAAAAGAATTCTGCTTGGGGGAAGGGGGAAAGGATTGATTCTCTTTACCCAAAGTGTTATCAAATTATATTATTCATTAGGATTAGGTGATTAGTGCCTCAGTATTACCAATATGATTCTTTAAGATATTTGTTTCCCTAGAGGATAGTAGGTGAGAAACAGGTATACTGCAACTACAAATTCTAATTTAACTAGGCTTTCTGAAGAGACAGCTAAGGATGATTAACATTAAACTTTTACTAGAATTAAGCCCAACATGATATAAGGTAAAAAGATATGGAATCAGAAAGGAAAAGGAAAATAGTAATTTAAATTTAATAGCATAAGCTAAGAATCAAGCTGAATATATCAAGCATTAAATGAACATGTTTAAACAGCTGCAGCAGACAAAATTTCAGAATCATAGAGATAAGAATGCAAATATGAAGAAAGATTAGATCAGAACAGTAAAGTTATGTTTCTGCTGCGTGTTTACATGCTGATTAAAAGTTTAAGTTTGCAAATTTATCATTATTGTATAAAATATTTTAGTTTCCCTCTTGTTGTTATGTGCATCATTAGAATTATATAAAGATCATAATATAGCCATTAATTTTGAAATGACACAGTTCATAAAATTTATTTTAAGCATATTACTATCTTTAAGATAAAAAGGAGAAATAACCAATATATATTAAAAAAAAAAAAAAAATTAAGGGACTACTGCAATTTAAAAGAATTTTATCCAAAATATTACTTATCTTTTACAAATGCAGATGTTTTACAATGTGATGTATGTGCAGACGTATGGACTATCCATTGCTATGTTAGGCATACTGCTAAAAAAAATCAGCGAGGATAGAAGATGCTGTGCTGACATAATTATTATCCTCATACAGAATTTGAGACTAATTCTGCATATTACTATATGGGTTTAAAGCACCTTACAGAAGAAATAAAATTTTAAAATAAACGTGAATAGCAATCTTGAGACATGATATACGGTAAACCATATGCCTAAAACATAGTTAGATGTATGTACATCATGACATTATATAGCATAACAACACTGCTATACTTAAATTACAATTACTAAAAAGTTTCTCAAGATGACAAGACACAGACTACTATTGAAACAGAACATTATGTAACTCAATATTATCCATTCTAAATATAGCTCATATGCTAGACAAAGTTACCAAATGAAGGGAATAACAAAGAATTTGCACTTAGTTATCCGAGTCCATTCATGTTAATGAATGAATGATTAGTCTATCTGAATTTGAAATTATTCTTGACAAATCAATACACACACATTTATGGCCCACCAGTAACTAGATGGATTTGACATAAGAATACTGGTAGTTCGATTTGGGTTTGAAATTTGACAAATGGGTCAACTGCATGGACATTTTTATTGCTTTTTTCCATGCATGAGACATTTTCCTTGAAATTTCATCCCTCCTGAGTTAAACTACTCAGTAGCTAAACATCAGTATGATTTGCCATAACCAAATAATCCTAAATTCTGTTTCCATAGACCTTTTTTTCATCATTACATAAAAATGAAGAAAACATTAAGAAATGACAATTTGGAAGGGGGGAAATCATGGTGATTTAACTGTTTTCAAACATTGCAGTTTCTATTACAAAACACATTTCTTAGAAATTATAGCAACAATATTATAAATTACATTTATATACACAGATGCATTATTTCATTTCACTCTAGAAACAAAATAACTGAACAAATTAATTTTTGCCATTATATACTTCAGTGAGAGAAATATCTCACTTATGCAACAGTTTTCAAGTTTAGTCTTATCACTTGGATGTTGATATCATTTTGAATCGGACACTATGAAACTGAGAAAAATGTCCTTTAACCTTTTCACGACGGCGCACCTTTGTTTAAGACGCTCGTGCGGGACGGAAGAGAATCAAAGGCAGTCACCATACAGGATGGAGGTTTGCATCCTAGCTAATTTTATACAAAAATAGAAAAACAAAAGTTTCGCTTATAGATTGTATTTGGTATCATTAGATTATTATTTGAGTTTATATATGTAAAATTAACCCTTAAACATTTTTTCATTAATGAAAATACTTAAGAATGTTATCTAAAAATAATTTCAGAAGCGCTATTCAATTATCCAAGTTAAGGATAAATCTCAATAAGTTTAAAGTAATAAAAGAACACAATAACGACTATTTACATAAGAAGTAACAAATTTAAAGGAAACGGTGGGTAAATCTCAAAGCCGTGAAGTATCACTTTGAACTCTTAGAAAAGTATCACTTGTTAACCTTAGAAATGAATCAGTACATATGTGCGTTAGAAATGTTTAAACCATAAAGGTATTCTTTCTGAAATAGCGCCTTCCGCAATAATAGAATGGAGGTGAGGCTTCCTAAATAAAAAGAAGGAACGAATATATTGAAGGCAAGCAAAATGTAAAAAAAATCGCCAATTATATGATTTAGGGTCAAAAGACAGTACATAGTAGGGAAAAATGAATAAAAAAAAAGAATGGATAAAATCATATACGAAATGTTAATAGCACGCAGCGATTTAAAGAGCCACCTCTGTTAGCTTCCCTCCGCCCCCCACCCTGAACAGCTGAACATACCACATCCAAACTCAAGGTCAGGAACTAAAACTGTGTTAATTTCAAAAATGGCACAGGATGCCATCTAGTGGCCTCAGAAAAACGTTCCACCTAAAATGCGTATACGACACCCGTTCCTATTAATGATCTTACTGATGCGTGGATGGGACGCCCGGCTGTAAGAGACGTTCTTAGGGAATGCATATATGGGACGCCCGTCCTGAAAGGGTTAAAACACTAGCAGTATCAAATCTTTAGAGGTAAAAAGGGATATAAATAAACTTATCATCGCAGAGCGAAAATTTCAGAAAATTTGACTTGAAATTAGAAATCTTTTTTAAAACACAAATGTTGTAAAATTATTAAAAATATTGTTTCTGCTGCAAAATATTAACAAAAGACAAAATTAAGTATTTTAATGACCCTCCAAATTTTCAAAACTATTCTACATTGGATAACTTAAATAAAATATATTTTATTTTCTAGAATACCCGCCGCCACAAAAAAGCACCTCAAGGATACTAAACAGAAATAGGAATATTACTTCAAATTTTTGAAAAAAGCATTAAAAATTAAAATTCAGCAAATAAATGGAGAAACTGAACATAATTTGATAATCATAAATGGTAATCCAAAAATTTATTTAACTTTTTTTTTTTTTAGCATCATCTTGTAGGTTGCTAGAAAAACATTCCAAAGGCCAATGTTCAACATTATTGACTCTGTTCCTCCCTTTAGTCTCTTTAAAATCATGAAATTATGCTTTCATAAGAAAAGCAGTAATTTTATTTCATTATCATATTATTCTATTTCTCAAGCTGTGATACGCGCTACAACTGAAAAGCGGTGATGGGATCAAAGGTAAGAATTTTTTAAACCCCTTGTACCAAGATACAGAATTAAAATTTCTAAAAGTGTAATTTGTGTAAACTACATAGTATAATCCAAAAAGTATTTTCACCTACATGGATTAATTACATACACCAAATACTAAGTGCAATTTCAGGAATTAATATTTTCAGTTTTAAAAACTACTTGTTTCTGATGGGAGAGTGGTCATGTAAGATATTACCAATTTTCAGCAATCAGAAATATTTGCTTGTTAAGGTCATAATCCAAATTGATTCAATAACACTGTGAACTAGCTAACTGCTGTTTTATATATAGGGAGGGAGGAGGCACAATTTTTAACATAAAATAATGACATGCTATTTAAAGTTCAAAATACATTAAATACCAGAGATGAAGCTTAAAATGATATTCTTTACTTACATGAATTTGGAAACAAATTTTCATAATAGGCAAAATAAATTAAAGATATATACATTTACGCTTGATGAGAAACAACCAATGTCATATTTAGGAAAAAGTGATACTCTTGTTTCTACATTGTTAAGACAGTTACTTTTTTTTAACTATTACTACTTTTTTGGGTAATTATTTTTTACAGCATATACCTTACGACAATATTCAAAAACAGCAGAATTGAATGAAAAAAGTATCTTTTTTGCCTCATTAAATTGTTTAGACGTTCATTACATGTTTTTACACATGAATTTGCACAATGCTAAAAATGATGAGTATATATTAAAGTCCTGATTATACATGCAAGACTGGAATGGGAATACTCGAAAAACATACAACATTTGCATGTATATTAATTTGAAAATCCGAACTAGAATATAATGAGAAGATATTTAACAACTTGAATAAACAACACATAAATAAAAGGAAGAAAAACAAACTGCACAGTACCCCATAAAATATTAATGGCAAATACATCAATAAAAATACATATTTTACAAGATTAAGAAAATGTTTTGTAATATTATTAAAATAAAGTTCAACAGCATTTTTTGTATTTAGAACATAAGCGAATAGAACTGGTAGGCATAAATGGAAATGTTAAATGAAATTCTTATATCAGAATATAATAAATACACAGAAAAATGGAATGGAAATTATAAATATTCAGAAGATTTTTTTTTTTTTTTAATGGAAAAAAAAAGTATGACAAGAAGTAACCAGGCCATTAAGTACTTCAAAATTCTTTATTGAAATATAAATAAAATTCCTGTACAAACTTCACCAAAATCGTAGTAAGTTCAACAGTTTTAAAAGAGAGCTAACAGACACAGTTTAATAGAAACAAAATATATTAAAAAATTATATATACACAATCTGTACAATAACAAATAAATTCAACAAACTGCTACACAAGGCACATATCATTTTAGCATTTGGCACATAGTTAGTTAATTTAGAAAAATCAAACTTTGAATGCAACACACAAATGGAATTTTTGCTTTCACTTAATCAAGTAACTGACATGGCACATGTCTATTTTTAATCTAATATAGCAATTCACAATTAAAACTAAATATTATTATTCTTTAATGGAAAGTAATTTTCAACAAGAAAAATAAATATATTAAAAGACAAGTTTGCAAAGTTTTTTTAAAAAAAATTATATTCAGATTTTTTTTTCCAAAAATAAAATGAAAAGTCACAAGACAAGTGAATGTACACTATAAAAGCATTTCTCACTATTATGTTTTTTTTAAAGCTATACATTTTAAGAATTTATCTTCTATCACAATATCACAATTTATTATTATTTTCTGACAGTTAAATCTGTTTGCAAAATTTTAATACACAGTAAATTTTCCTGCATCAATATGAAAAGTTTCACACCATTTCAGTTTAAGAGTTAAAATGTAAAAAGAATAAGTTTATTTTAGTTATGTTGAGTGTGAGAGTTGTTTTTATTATTATTATTATTATTATTTTATTATTATTATTATTATTCCCAAGAAGTGTAAATGAGGGCAATGCAGAGAAAGGAATTTCAGAATATTATAACCTACAAAAATCAGTAAATTAGTTACTAAAAAGTTTAGCATGCAAATTTAATTAACTGAATAATTCTAATGTTTTACATGCAGCAAGTTATAAAAGCAGGGTATATATTTTAAAGCCTAACCACGTAAATCCACATTCCATTAAAATATTATGCGAAAATATTTCAGAATGTAAGATGAAGGTGCTTTGGAAGACATTTGTAAAATTTCAAGCCATGTGCTAAAATGTATTATTTTATTTAACAATGCAAAAAGAAAAAAAAAAAAAAAAGGCTTAATAATATTTACTGCACACTTTACAAATAAGTAAATATTCTTATGAAAGCAAAATATAGTTAAAAAAATATGAAATATTTTTATATTACAACACATTTCTATATTATGGATATATAAAATATTTTTGTAGTAACTCAATTAAATCATAATTTCTGTCATAATGTCACTGCAAGTTTGAAATGTAAGTAATACAACTATCTACTATCTAAATAAATCTCTACTGTTATTTTAGCAATTATTCACAAAGTTAATTATTATAAAACTTAAATACAAATTCATTATTAAATAATGATGAATGAAATGTGCACCTACAAACAAAAGATAAATTCTCCACTTAAATGTTACATGCTTATTGTAAGATTTTCTGAACTAAAGAGAATTTTGCGCAGAAAAACTAAAAAGTTTTTGTACATTTATTTAAATTAAAATTAATAATTTATGCAACTTTCACAAGGGAAAAAAGAAATAAAGAAATTTTCATTTTCACAATTAAAAAACATTAAGATGGTTCACAATAATCAAAAGCATAACACCATGCATTATTTTTTTAGAACACTAACAGTTAGTACACATTACATTTAATCACAGATTGATTCTGGAAACTACAGTGGAAGAATTCATGCAAAAAACATATGGAATAGTTCATGCAAAAGCTAAGACACTTGGTGACTTCCAAAGATGTTATCTTTGTTTATGAGAAGAGCAGGTGGAGAAACTGCATGGTGGATCATTTCATAGTGATGCAATTAAAACCAGGCCTTGTAAGCGTCTGATCAGCATCGGTCCTTTAAGCAAAAGACAGTATATCCTTTGCCTCAGAATGCTATACATCAACAATTTTTCAGAGTAGATAGTAACACTAAATGATTGCCTTAATATGCGATTGAACGCATCAAAACGCATAAACATTAACTCACAAATTAAAACAATATTACATTAAACCCTCTTTTCATAAATTTATATAGCTACTATTGCAAAATTACAAATTTAAACATTTTCAGTCATTATATAAACTTACAAGGTCATGGCTCTAATTTAATACTGAACACAATTTAAATTAATAAATTTTTAAAAGTAAATTATTGCATCTAATTTTATTTCCTGTCACATAATTCCAGATTTTACCTGCTACTCCATGGCGACATACGCGTTCTCTTGATTTTATTTCTATGTGTCTTCATATTTCCCCTCTTACTCTACATACTACTTTCAGAACAAAATGCAAAACTGATGTGCTCCTTTTTTAAAAATTTTCAATGAAAATTTTGGAATACAGGGCCCTAAAAATAACTATATAAATTACTATCAAAAATTAACAGAAATTTTTCTACCTTCTGCAGCTATTTTCACTTCACACACACAAACACAGAGGGAAAAAAAAAAAAAAAAAATTTGCCTTGCTTACAACAGTTGTTCTATTGTACATCAGCTTCCCATTTTTATAAAACCAAACTCTCATATTGGATATTATCTCTCAGCAGTGATCATAGCTATAACTAGGTAGGACAAATTTTTAAGAAAATAATCTAGAATATTTACAGATATTTTAATATATTTATTTTTCTATACTTATGATAATGACTAGCTTACATTAACAAAAAGATTACTAAACCAAAAGACCAGATATGCATAATAACAGGTTTCATAACATTCCTTAAAATTTCAAGGTGATATATAAGTATCCTTTTTTGATGACAAAACTTACGATTCACTGAATATGTTTGTCAAATGACTAAACATTTTTTGCCTGCATTTTGTAGACCTTCCAAATTCAAACTAATTTTTCTTCATATATCCATATGGAAATTCATTACACATAGGATGTGCTCCCATTAAAATAAAATTAAGACTAATATAAATTTTATACCCAATTTTTAAAAATCATTATTTTAGGGCAGGGTAAGAGGGACTTAAAAATCCACAAAGCCATAAAAACTTTTTTTTACAATAAATCTCATATAATTGTAAGGTATTACAGTGAGAAGGTGATTTATTTAATATTAATTTAATTACAATTAATTTTAGTGTTAATAATTATACATGCAAATACCCACAAATCTTAAAGGTAAAAGCCTAAACTTCTAGGTAGGGAAACTATATATTCATTGCTCAGCTAAAATTCACTACAACTATTTAGTTTTCTGTGTTTCTCTTTTACATTCTTAAGTATGTTAAGTAATTCTGGTTTAAAAAAAATTACAGTCCATAATAATATCTCCCTAAATTTTTCCTGCTATTATGTTTGAATCCAATACAATGGAATATTTTCTACCATATTCTGTTTATGAAGATTTTGTTCCCCCCCCCCCATGTTCATAGACATCAGAAAATGAATTTGAAAATGTAAGCTAATGCAACCCACATGCAATACTATTAAAACCAATGCAGGTAAAAGTTATTTTACTATACGTTAAACATATATATATGGGTGACACTCTAATCTAAACAGAAATTCATCAAAGCAATGTCATTAAATGATTACACTAATACGACTTCCCCACTATTTTTCTACATAGTCGCCTAACATTGCAAACACATGTTCCAGCAGCAAGGTAGTTTTGATATAAATTTGTTTGATGATAAAAGCCTTTTGACCACACTTTGACCCATTTCTGCATAACGACAATAATTTGCTCATTTCTTCCTTCTAAGAAATCTTGTTAAATTTATGACAATCGTTAACTCATGTTTCCAAACAACCAACACTTATTTAAGAGTTCCTAGCAATTTCTCTGATAGTATGTGAATCATTGTCAACTCTGATGCACTCACCTCCAATCTGATTCTGAAGCCCCAAATACATCTGAGATAGCATAACAGCTTTATTAATTAAAAATCTAACTATGATCTGCAACACAACTCAGTTGCTAGCCTCTTGCTTTGATTTTCTGATTACAAGGATAGAAAGAAAACCAGTGTCGCTAATGATAATTTAAAACATTATGTAATTGGCCAATGAGCTATGGTTATGTTGAGTACGAAATGGAAATATTTTACTTTTAAATGGAAGTACTTTTAAATATGGACAAAATAAACCTAAGAATTAATTTGCATATTATTTATTGTTTGGATAAAATTCATAATATTTCATATAATGATCTAAATTAATATTAAATGTTAAATGATTAAACATTGGTAGAATGTTCATGAAAAGTTCTATAAATATCTACAATACATTAAGACATTTCAGATCAAAGAAAATTCAATCAAAAAATTGTGTTGAAAATCATCACAGATGGGGGGATGGTATTTGTAAAATTTCAGTTTCATTAATTCAATAAATTTCTTTTATTGCTGGGAAATGTTTTCCTCAATAATAGCTAAAAATTAAAAACTGGGAGATTCAGTGACTGTGATAAAAAAAACCAAGATAGTTGGCAGCTATGCAAATGAATTAAGAATGTGGACTGAATACCAAACAAATATTTTACACGGGTCATCGGGTCATTTATTTGAAATCTCCTATTCAAAACAAAATTTTGAAACATGCTTTCATTCTAACTGACAAAATATATCCTTAATAGTTTATGGACTATAATATAATTTCAACTTTAAAGGCATGTTAGTTATCAGAAAGCTTTAAATAAGAATGTTTTAAAATGTTAACAGTCTTGAAAAATATAACATTAGAAAAGCAATCAAAAATATACCTGCACTATTTGCTTGTAAACTAATTCCAATATGAATAAAAAGTTATACTTGATTAGAACCAATTAACATAGAACACTTTCCAGTGAATGAAAGGTAACAATATTGGAAACCCAAAGCTTGTGTAATAAAGACCCCCCCCAAAAAAACAATTACATAATATAGGAGATACCGAAATACCTTGAAAGCATTTCCAAAAGAGAAAGCAAAGGAAATTTCGTACAGGGGCAGTACGAAGGTATTTAAATACTAAATCTATGACAGATATGTCACATTTCACAAAATACTTTTGATATTTTAAAAGTACGCATGTCATAAAAAATAGGGCTAATTTGCCGATCAACATCATGGAATAATAACAATACAATGCGCCTTCCATGTGCTGTGTTCCTTTGTAAACAAAAATCTCAGCTTATGTACCATGTTTTTAACACTTTTCAGCATACTTACTACAAATATTTTCACATGCTGTTAGCATTTCAATGGAATTAAAATTGCATCTTTATAAACTCATCTATAAGACTATGTTGCACACATGAATAACTATGCTTGCTCTATCTCAAAAACCTTAAAACAATATGTTAAAACTTTAACAAATTCAAAATGTAACTATAAGGGATGGAACTAAATGCTCACGATTTATTAGAAATGACATGATTCATGAAATGTTCAGCATTTTTGCCTACATTAAATTCATTGTAAAACAGCTTTATAATAATGGGGAAGTCAACAGCACAATAACTCAAATTCTTGATGTCTACTATCAATAAAATAAAAAACCACCCATAGCATTCTTATGAATTTACAGCAACCAACTCACAACCAAATTACAACCTAATTTCACTCTTTCAACTCAAAAGTTAAACATCTTGAGTGGTACTTGTGTGGCTGATCACTAAGTGCAGTCATTCATTATCCTAACATTTTCTTACAGTCTATCTAGTACCATATTTTACCTACTTAATTTTTGTTCTAAATTTTCCAACTCTGATTTAATCCCCATATTCAACTTATTTTGGATCTCCCATCAAAATCATGCATGACCTTACATCGGTCTTTACCCCTTCTCTACTGCTTGTATGCTAGTAATCACACTTTTCCCAATCAATCAGGTTCCTTTAGGATTTCTGCCTCTCGCTCTCTTAAATGTTAGTTTATGTGCTATAAAAATGAAGCCTCCGCTATAAAAGGCAACCGCAATGCTATTCCCGTACCTATTTTTATGTTGAAGAGATGACGATATCATTTGACAGAAATCTGCAATGTTACCTCCAACTTATTGCTGTTATACTCCTCAAATTATTGCTATCATTCTTTAAAGATTTTATTTCATGACATGCTACTCAACATTCAAATACTCCAAGACTATACCAGCATCCAGCTCAAGAGCTTTTTTTTAAATACTTAAAGCATTCTATTCAAAAATTGAAAAATTTTGCAGTTGCTAATATTTACAAAACGAATATTTATGGCACTTGAAATATACATTCAATTCTTATTGTGTATCTCAGAGCTTTTTTAATAAAATATTCCTCACCTCCCAAAAACGGATACCACAAGATACCTGCATTAACAGACTTTTTATCCACATAACAAATCTATTTTCTATTTATGCAAATAATACCATTAGAAGCATGATTTTTTAACGGTTACTGGTATGCATAATTAACTGTTTTAAACATATAAACACCTAGAGATATTTTTAAACAGTTTTTCCTTCAGTTACTTTTATTAAAATAAATTACACCTTGAATGACAGCAGCATCGTAAGCATTTGTTTTAAGATGATTTTCATTTCCATATTTAACTTTACTTACAATTAACTAATCCAAAATATGACTTACGATGAGCAGCTTGGTTTAAAACTCTGTTTCAGCATATTATACATGAATATGTGAACAGAATTATAAGCATTTAATAATAAAGAATGTAATTTTAAATTTCGAATGAAAAAAGTGTAAATGTAATTGACCAGTATAATCTTGCAGGATACACAGTTGCAGTTTCACTCATAATTAAATCTGGATTAAAAAAAATTCACAGGGTTAAAAAATCTACTACAATGGGCAATGGTTCTTTATAAGAAGAATCTTACTGGGTTAAAGATTTCAAGATCTATATTTAAATTTATTAGGAAAGGGAGATATCATTTAATAGAGAATCGTCTTTTGCATTTATTGAGAGGAACTGGTAAGGAAATACAGTCAAAAGTCGTTAATTCAGACTCGTCAGGACTTCGGCGATTATCGATTTTTCCGGATTATAGATCATCAGTTTAAATCTCGTAAGATGGCATGCAGAAATTCTAAAATTAAAAATATGAAACCTTAATTTATGAAATAAAGAACAATTACAATCTAAAGGGTATCAAAATTTACAAAAAAAAAAAAAAAAAAGCTTAATATTTATTTGTTTACTTTATTAAACATTTCTTTCAATGTAAGTTGTCTTAAGTTGCTTCGTTTTATGTGATAATACTTTCTCTGTAATTCTATAAACAGACACAATTTCTTGTTCAGTTACAAAGTTCCGCTGTTCAAGTCCCATTAATTGTTGTGTCAAGAATACCGACTAACTTGTAAATCGAAATTTTTTTGTTTTCACTAACCTCTCTGTCACATTCTTCGTGTCTTTACCCATTTTTTGCAGCAATTCCACTTTTTGTTTAATAGACATCGAAACACACTTTCATTTTGTACGATCCTTTGGGAGTTCCAGAATCGGAAATTCTATTTGACATAATCGAAAGTTCAAGTTTACTTTTATAAAATTGCTCTTACAGTCTGCAAAAAAAAAAATAATCCGGTTCCAATTCGAAGATTAAGGAACAACGCAATCATCAACATTAACTGAAATAGATCATTAGATAATTTTAGATTATGCCGTCCGTTATACATAAAACGCGCGTGCGAAAACGTATTCTGCGCTTACGCACACGCATATGCGCAGTGGTAAAAGGTCTTACGCGCACGCGTAAACACCTATGTGCATGTGTCAATGCGCCGCATGCGCAGAAAGTTTTTAACTTTGAGGTCCGGATTATTGATCATACCAGATTATGGGTGTTCGAATTAACGACCTTTGACTGTATAAGCGATTTCTGTAGATTTAAATTCCTCGGATAAAAACAATACAGAGTCAAACTGCTAGTATAAGCAATCCTTTTGGTCTTTTCCAATTCCCTATATATTTTTTTTATTTAATACTGCTACAATGAACCTCTAAAAGCATAAAAATCGGATATAATGAATTATTTGGTTATCGTCAACTGGAACTATTTTGTAATTTTTGTATTTTCTCCAGAATTTCTACAGGTTTTAGCAATAATAATAAAAAATAAATAAATAATAAAAAAAAGTAAAATAAAAATAAAAAAATTGCACATTTATGATGTTAGGATTCACATTGTATCCATAAAGGTAAACACATTTATATTACTTTTTCTTTTATATTCACATACACTTATTCCTCTGCTATCAACTAAGGAGATATGCAAAACAAATGTGACACTCCATTTAGAAGAAAGCGGATGCAATAAGTCTATCCATATGTATATGTGACCATTAAACCGAAGAACATGAATGGGTTCCATTATTCAAATGAAATTCTTTGACATAGTTATCAGTAGATCTATTCAAAGGTAATGTTGTAACGGAAATTTAAAAATTATCTTTAATCAAGCAAAGAAAGTACTGAAACCTACGAGTTTGAGCTACACAGTTAATTTGTCTCTTAGGGAACAAAAAAATATTTCAAAATTAAAATAACAAAAAGGGTTAAACATTTTATTCTTAAACTGTTTGTGTTTCTAAACACTTAAGAAACCCAAAGCCACTTAGAAATTATTTCATTTCTCACTAAACAGCTTCTCACAATCCTTTTTCCACATAAAAGCTAATATTTAAAATAAGCATCAACTTTTCCATTCCATCATGAAATACAAGAACTCTAAATAGGAAGCTCCTCTACTACTGCTGCCAATCAAGGGTATAAAACCAGTTTAATTCAATATCAAAAGTTTCCTAAAACAGAATACTAAATTTCTTTTTGCATGTAGAATACATATGGCTAAAGTTACAGTAAAGCAAGAAGATATAATGTAGATTTTAAAATCAAAAGTTGCACACATTACAAGCCTTCTCTTGACTATTAGACAATGTACTATTGAATTATCTATTGCTGCTCCATCAACTAAAAGACCAAAAATGAAAACCCTTCATTCATTAAAAAACAAGCCTAAAATCAAGCATTCTAATATATTATGATGCAACTAATGGCAACATTTTAGAATATATATATTTTGAAATGGCCACAGTGTAACCCGACATAATTTGAACTATACATGATATAACATGTTTAGAATATCAACAACTTTATATTCTAATTTAAAAGTTCTCAAACTAGGGTTAATATAAAATACACTCAAAATCACAGACTCATTTTGAAATTTTATCCACTTTATCTTTAAGCCAAAGGAATGTAAAAAATATGTTCCTTTAATAATACCTGCATACTGAAATACCTAAAGGTTAACTGGTAATTTAGTTTAACAAATTCCATGGCAGTTTTATTTTAAAAAATAATTTAGGAGACTTAATGGGAGACAATAAATACCCATTCAATAATGAATATTTAGGGGTTATTAAAATTTGCTTGAAATTTTTAATACATTTTGTCAATCTTATGAATATATTGTGATTTTCTACAAATTACATCTTTCTTCAAATGAGGAAGGAACTGCAAAAAGTTTGAGAAACCCTTATCTAATTTACATATTTACAAAATTACTTTAAGTTGAAAGAGATTCCAACAAAGCCAGTTAACTACACAGTAAAATAAGTATTATACTTGCGTCTTAAAATTACCTTTTACTAAATTTGAGTGAAAGCTTGCTAAAAAATGACTGTCTTCCAGCATGATTCATGGAGGACATGTCTTCGGTATTTAAAGGATGCCCGCCCTGGGGTCCATTGCATGAATAACCCTGACGTCTTTCTCGCGTCTGACCACTGTGAAACGTACTTCTGTTAGCAGTGCCTCTTGGAAATGCCCTGCTGACAGCTGGCAGTGGAGACAATGCTGCAGGCTGTTTTGCAATAGCTGCAGTGCTAAAAGGAAAAATGCAAATATATATATTTCCATTATTCATCTTTAGTAAAAGCACACATTTAATACTAGAGGTGTTGTGTAAGACAAATAGTTACTTTTCAATAAAAACAAGATAACAGGATAATCAAGTACATATAATGCAAGGAGAAAGGAGTTATACCTTCTTGCATGGAAAAGTCTAACTTTATACATAAGATGTTCAAAGAGACTCGTGATAGATAATAATAAAATACTGATATATAAAATAATGATGTTAAGTTGCTGTCTCCTATCTGTTCAACGAATTCCTATCACTAATAAGGATTCCACAGAATGGAAGGGGGGACCTTCCTCAATCTGTATCTTACCTTGATGCTGTTACAGTAACTAATGCTGTGAGTCCCTTGCCAACAGGACACCTAGTGAGCGTGCCCAAACATCATTTTAGCAGTTCAGTCTGTGCATTTACAGGGCAAACTATGTAAACTATGACTGCCAACTTTGAAATCTTAAAAACTAGGATATTTTTGCTAGAAACCAAACAGAGACCAGGAGGATTTCACATTGTGAGGTAACACCATTTCAAAGGAATATCAAACTGACTTTAATTCAGTTAGAATGCATATTCCATGTTATTCAAGTATTCATAATACAATTCTGATGTACAATAAATATTAATAAGTTATTCTAAATTACATATTTTTTGGCTAATTTAACTTTAAAATTTTCTTATACTTGGAGAGAATTCCACTTATTAAAAGAAAGATTTATTTATCAAAGTACTTTTAAATATGATGAAAATAACAATTATTGTACATAGTATTTGTGCACATAAACTTTGTCATATATCATACACTAAAATAAAATTAAATACAAACGCAAAATGATTAAACATAGTTTGAATCTTCATATAAAAATCTATAAATGCCTATGTAAAATTAATAGAATTCAGATTAAATAAATTTTAATAAGATATAAATTAAAATAAATTAACAATTACAATGAAATAAAACTTAATAAAAAATATTCTGAACCAGAAGTGGAGGAATGGAATTTGCCTAAATTAAGTTTCAATAATTCATTTCCTTAATAAGCCTAAAAATTAAAAACCAGGAAATTTGGTGATCTACCAAGAGAATGGGAGATGTGATGAAAAATTGCAAGTCTCCTGGCAGAAGATCCATATCTTTTCACCAGAAGTATTGGCAGAAGTTCCATATCTTTTCAAAGTACTTTTAAACTGTTGATTTAAAAAAAAAAAAAAAAAAAAAAAAAAAAAAATATGGTACAAAAAAGAAGCGTGAAAAGATACTGCATGAGTAAAATGTATTACCAAAAACCACCATGGAAAAGGAGAACATAAGGCAATAAAACTGCATCAATGTATTGTTGCCCGGTCATGGTCCCAATTGCAATATATAGAGGTGGTCATTGGCAAGATCTCCTTAAGCAGACCTGAAGGCTGGAAGTGGCATCATAATCTGCTGGCTATCTCGATGAGGTGCAAGATATACAATAAGAAAAATAGTTCTTTTTTAGTCAAACCAAAGCAATCTCGATGAGATCATCCAGATGGCATTAGAAAACCAGGGAAATTTCATCCTTGGTCATGAGGAGAGATGTTAGCGAACCCACAGCCTTGTTTTAGTAGGTTTAATGTATGTTTAAATTTAATCTTGACTTTACTCGATTTTCATTATGCCGTTAAAGAGCTGTGTGCCGAAGAAATTATAATGATGGCCCTGAAGTGTCAGCACACAGATTTTCTAAACAACCCGATTTATTAAAGAAATGGTTAAACTCGATATTGCAAGAAAATTTTACCACTTCGAAGTATTCTAGGGTAAGTTGAGAATAATTTAAAATTAAAATTTATTAAGGTATTGATTTTGTATTTAAAAGGATGGATATATTAATCCGTTGCACTCAAGTGACGCTGCTCTGATGCTCGGGAAGTTTGAATCGTTCACTTGATGTGCAATGTAACAGCGGTACAGTGTTTTGTAACTCTATCTGTTTATTTATGATGTTCAATAACATATTCTTATCTGAAGTACTTTTGTGGACCATGCTCGGCTTGCATTCTTAGCCAAAGCTTAGCTTAGTTTAGTTAGAAAAAGAAATAACTTTTAAGCTTTAGAAAAATTAAAGCGACATTAGCTTTTCGCTAATATAGCCAAAATCATCTCGAATTGCTGGATAGAGTTCAATTCAGAGCGAAAAAAGCCTCAAGTGCAAAGGATTACTATTAGGGAATTTCATTTCTATAGAATGCATTATGTTTAATACTGTAGAAAGTAATCATGTATGGATTAGTATAATTATGTACCTAACTAGAATTGCTAAATATTCACCTTTTTGAAATGTAATTTTTTACTTTGATTAATTGTATACCTTGAAACTTTTAAATTCATATGTATATAACAGAAAACAGAGATATTTCATTACCTCAGAACTAGAAATTTATCGAACATTTAAGTACAGCGGACTAAAATTCTTCAAAATATGATACTTCAGCATTAATGCAGCGCTGCAAGCGCATCTTCCACTGTTCGTAGCGCTTCTGGAAGGCCTCAGGCATCATGCTGCTAAGGGCTCTCGTCGAATCGCTTTCCTTTTAGGCCTGTCTTTCCAAAACTTTGGCGGGCGCATTGTAGTGGAGAATCCAATCGCCCTTGATCGCTGGGCGGACTCGATAGTGTAAAAGTCACCAGTGACAGTCTGCCCACGAGCAACAAACTCCTTGTGAATCGCTCCTTTACCCCCCCAAAAAAACAATTAACATGCACTTTATACAGGACTTGCTCATGCGAGCTTTCTTGGGCTTTGGCGAGGAAGCAGTGTGCTATTCTGAGCTTTGACGCTTCGAATCAGGATTGTACTTGTAGACAGACTGTCACAGGTGACTTTTACACTGGAGTGCTCCGCCACGTCCGCATGGTGATTGGATTTTCCATCACAACAACGCACCCGCCACCGCTGAAGTTTTGGTCAAGTTCAACGTGACAACACTGCCGCAGCCACCTTAAGCAACAACTTGGCTCCAAGTGACTTTTTCCTCCTTCCCCAAATCAAAACAGGCCTAAAGGGAAGCGATTCAACTCCATCGACACCATCCAGCAGGCTTCGACGACAGCCCTTGACAGCATGATGCCTTGCAGAAGGGCTACGAACAGTGGAAGATGTGCTGGCAGCACTGTGTTGATGCTAAAGGATCACATTTTGAAAAATTTTAATCCGCTGTACTTAAATGTCCAATAAATTTCTAGTTCTGAGGTAAGTCTTGAAACTTTTGAATCACACCCTGTAATGATGCTGGCCCATACCGTTATATTGCACCCTGGATACTGGTCTCTTTCCGTATATTTTCTGGAAAATAAGCAGTGCCACACATATGACAGATCAGTTGGTGTCTACAAGCCAAACTAAAGCTAGACTCATTTGAGAATATTATGCAAAGCCCAGTCCTATTCAGTCCAACTGCGACACTCATGACACCATGCATTAGAGTGATACAATGGTCTGTCTGAACAATGGGACACACACAACACATCTAGAGGTCATTCTCCCAAACATCTGGCTAAGTTTTTCAGGATAAACTCATTCCTCACCACCTGTGGTGTGATGCACCAGATTATTCTGTTAAGGCAATGTACCTGTCTCCTGTTGGCATCCATCAATACTATATACCAGAGGTGGAGAACATGCGGTCTCTAGCTCTTGCTTCTATTAATATTTAATTATATAGATTATGACAATCTGAAAATTAATAGAATTAAATAACATGCTGCCATCTGAACATAACATGAATTACAATGCTTCAGTGTTGCAGCTCTAGCAGATTTTCATAACCTGAAATTACTGCCAAACTTTTCAGTTTGCCAACATCCAAAAATAGAAATTCTGTTTTGTTATTATTTTTTGGCTATGGCTCATCCCTGCTTGATATACACTAAGTCTATTACTATAGCAACTGCCACCTAACAGACATTGCGACGGTGGCTATTCTGAGAGACAGTACCTACTTTTTATTTTCTGATCCTCCCACTCCCAGTATGCCCCCTGTATGTTGTGGAGCTGGCGACAAGCATGGAACGACAACAGCTGCAAGGTCGTGCAATGCACGACGGCACCGAGTCAAAAAGGCGCTGGGCAATCATAAAAACAAGCAGTGAATCTCGCTGCCTATATGAACAGGAAACTTCTTGTCTTAATTGGTCGCTGACATAAAGAGAAAAAAGTGTCAAGTACAGAAATGCAATGGAAACAAATCTCAAGAATATTGTGCAATTTGTTCCAAAGTTGTGTGCGGAAAATGCACTGGAAAAAATCTTAAAACTTATTTTTGTATCAACTTCAACGTATGTGTAATCTCTAATATTTTAAGCATTAAATAGAATTGAAACGAAATGCTTTACATATTCCATTCAGCTACTCGTATAATGATATAACTGAAACATCAGTTATTGCACTAAAGACACCGAGAAAATATGCAATAACATTTCTCATTTCTGGATTTAGAGTGAATCATCCTCCGAGTAAGTACATAAAAATATATAATTACATAAATTATCTTTTATTTTAGTTAACATTAGTTTTAATTTGTGAAACCATTTATTTGAAATCAATTCTTATATCAAATTGATGAGTTATTTGAGTAATTGTAATATGATCCAATTGATCGCCATGTACTTGAAACATTTACAGTATTTAAAAAGTGAATAAATTATCATGTGATATTAAATATAAATTATGAAATACATATAAAGTATATATTTGTGCCAATATATGGCATTAAAAATTGTTTTACCGTTGTTATTCCAGTACTTTCATTGAAGGGTCAAAATTATCCTTTATTGCCGTTCCAGTAGGTAAGATTTTCTCGCTGTTCTAGTGTTAAAATCAGTCTCCACAGGAGTCATCACTGGCGATGGCAGTTTCAGCCTCGACAGGGACCGGATGTTTGTCTGTTCCGTTGGTTGTGGTGGAGCTATATAGTCACATAGTCATGGTTGTTTGG